GAATCTGGCAGAGAGGTGAGTGGACAGATGGAGTTTCCTCAGGGCAGCCAGGAGCAGCCACCACCCATGGAAAACTCCTCCACAAATATTAAGACCATCACTGGGGGAAGGAAAAACAACACCTGGGACCAACATTGGCCAACTTGAGATCTCTGGAGATACCAGACCCTCCTGGGAGCCAGAACTGGGTCATCTCCAACAGCACAGACCAGCAACCAAACACAGAATTCCAGAATGGATTTGGTTGGGAGGGACTTTAAAATTCATGTCGTTCCAATCCCCCTGACATGGGCAGGGACACCTTCCACTGGAAGGAACAATTCCAGGGATGGGGCAGCCACAGCTTCTCTGGGCACATTTTAGTGGATACCACTTTAACCACCCTCTGTTTGTTCTTTGAGGTTCTCCAGAGCCCCAGCAGGGACCAGAGGATGTCTCTCTAAAGCGCCGATGAAGCCGGAGGTAATTAAATACGAGGGGCCTCCCATTGTCAGCGTTGTGCCTCTGTTTTGGCAGCCAGCTCCAGCAGAGCAGAAGAGGGAAGATTTGATTTTAATCACACAGATTTCAGGTTTTATTTTGCTCATTAAAATTTCTGATAAGGATTTAGTCTGACATTATGCAGTATTTTGGAAGAGGATGTGTGGCAGTGGGGGGGATTGGAGGAAACCACGTTTCCTTGTGATGAGAAGATCTTTCTGCCTCCCCATGACAGACACAAGGATATGAGCAGGTGTTACTTCAAAGGGAAGGGATTTGGGGGGAAGAGGGGAACAGGAGGGACTCAAACACACCAAATCAAGGATCTAAGCCTTGGATTATGGAGAAAAAAGGTCCAAAGTCTGAGATTACAGAGCCCATTTCAGAGCCGCCTCCTGGAAGCCATGGATCAGTTACTCTCCTAATGCCTTTTCAGGCCCCATCAGAAGGAAGGGAACACCTTCCCAGAACAGAATGAGATTTCCAGACTGTCCCAGGCTCCCCGCATCCCTCCAGAAATTGCTCCAGAATAGGCTGGCACTCCCCACTCAGCTTTGGCCTGGCAAGGGGAAAAAGGATGGAGTAGAGGAAATGGAATTGTCACAATTTCACTGCTTTCAGGAGCACCATCAAAGACTTCCATGGGGAGGAAGGGTGACAGCTTGGACAGGGGACGGAGCAATTCTCCTGTTTGCTCGTTGATTAGGATCCAGGAATTGCAGGCAATTTGCCTCCTATTTCTTCAGCAGCTTTAAGAACCTAAGTGTTATTCATCAAGAACAAGAAGTCTGCATGAAGCCAAAGTCACCTGAGCAAGAAATAAATGAGTGAATGTGAGCTTCACCCGGGCCTGCTATTGCCAAGCATTTGGATTTGTCCCCACAAAAGTGTTTGGAAACAAGATGGATTTCTTTGTCCCCAGAGGATGTGTTGTTCTTTTAATAAGCCTTAAACCAAGCGGGTTGTGCAATGTGAGTCGTGCAGAAGATGAGATGAGCTTTTAACAGCAGTTCCCTGGGTGCTCTCAGCCTGTGTACCCACCAGCTACAAGCCAGACAGGAGATCTGGGAAATGAGCAGAAATCTGGGAAACAGATGGAAAAAGAATCTATGAAATACCCAGTAATTCCCACCAAACCAAGGGCAGCCAGAATGACAAGAGCAAGAAACACTCAGCCAAATATTTGCAGCATATCTGAATGGCTTGTGCCACCTAAGAGGTTCCTGGTGCATTCAAACCACCCAGAGCAAGAAAATTCATCTGTAAAAGGAATTTTCAATGGGTCAGCACTGCCAACCACCCCACTGAGGCAGCAGCTGGCACCAGTCCCCTCTTGAACCTCCCCTCAATGGTAACTGGGCCTCAGTTAAGTGCAAGGTTCTGCAATTAGATGGCAAAGAAAATAATGCAAATCACACCATTCATGTATTTTTAACAACTTCTAATGGAAATCAGTAGCTGAGAATGAGCAGGGATGCACATCCTAAGTGCACTGAAGTCCCAAGTGCCCAGAAATCCATCCTGGGTGCCAGGAAGGGATTTGATTTAATGTGCCAGCTACAATACATGACTGCCCAGGGATGGATCTGTCCTTCCCACCATTGTGCTGGCAGCGAGTCCCCAAATCCTCTCCCAGGAGGAGACAAGAACACCCAAAGCAGCAGCAAAGGGCTCATGTTCATCATTCTTTGTGGCCCCATCCATCAGGTGGCCCCTGGGGTGCTTCAAGCCCCTCTGGTACCCATTAAAGGAGTCATTTCTGAGTTAAAAATCAATTGAAAGGCTCTGCCCTGTCTTGCCCCTGCAGGTCTGGCACACCGTGGAGGGTAAAACAGGGAAAAAACCATCTGCATCTGTGAGTGCTGAGCAGACCCCTGAGCCACCTCCCCCAGCAGCAAGGCCACCTCTTCTCAGGTGTTGCAACTCATTTATTAGATCTCTCCTCTCTTTTCTCCTCCACCTTTCACTGTCCTTATTATCTTTTCTTTTTCCAACCAAAGGGAAAAGGAAGAAAAGGAAATCTCTCCACCACAATAGCATGTCAGGCTCCTATCATTTTCAAAACCCTCCTCTCCCCTCCCTTTCAACTCTCCTTACTTAGCAGAGAATTTTTCTTCATTAAAATTAAGCCTCATTTCAGGCTCATCTTCCTTTCTCCCTCTACTTTTCTCCAAATTGAATGAAACGTGATCTCCATCAACCTGGCCTCCCCTCCCTCTCCTCTTGCTTTCAGAACCAAACCTTCCTCACCATAAGGAAAAGAAAAAAATTACCCAACCATCCATTCATCCATCCATCCATCCATCCTCCTCATCCTCTCGTCTTGCTGCTCCAGGAAATCAGCCCCACTGAAGGCGACTGTTTCTGCTGGGAGCTGCACGATTCCCCCCGCTTCCCTCTCCCCTCCACATCCCACTTTCAGCTCATTCCCTTTAATTGGGGAATATTTTCTCCCACATAATGGAATGAGACCTTCTCCTCTCATTTTCTCTGCAGCATTTTTTACCTGCCTTAATCATCCTGCAGCTCCCCTGGCAAGCAGCAGGAAGGGACTGGGGGTCCCTCCCATTAATCCACACCCTGCGAGAGACGCCGAGCGGCTCAGCCCATGCAAGTCTTGGCATCCTCTCATAGGAAAAGCAGCCAGATGGCTTTAGCAGGACTTTCCCCTCCCCTCCAGCTTTCCAGTAACCTCTGGTACCACTGGATGGTCAACAACTGCTTCAAAGACACCTTGGAGATGACACCAGGCACAATCTGCATGTCCAACCTGACCAGAGACCTTCCCTGGCTCCATGAGCAGTGCTCAGCAGGGATAACCCCATCCCATTTCCCAATTTCTCCCACCTTTGCTGTCCTTCCCTCCCTCCTTCTTCCCAGTGCTGCTTTCTCGGTCTCACTCCAGTTTTTTCTCCACCAAAAAAATGTATTTAACGTTCTCTGATTCTCAAGGCCAGCCGGCTCGTTAGCTCTGCTACACCTGGATCAGGGGCTGGAGACAAACTGCTGCTTCATTATAGGAGCTGAGGCTCTAATCCATTTTTTTTTCAGGCTGTTTAACTTGTAAGGACAACAGATGGATACAGGGCTGTATAATGCAGACTCCTTAAGATCCATCAGACAGTCTTGGAAGTGCAAAAACACAAGGCTGAGGAATGTGAAACCAGAGCAGATCTTAGAGCGGTCACCTCAAATTAGGCACAAAGAGAAAATGTGCCAAGACTGGAACTGGACTGAAACTGCCAACTTATATTGCTGAAGATTAAAGGAAAACCAAACTTTTTCCCTCCACATCCCACAAAGTCATTTAAGTTGTTTTTTTTACTTTTGTCTCCCCAGTGAAAAAGAACAAGGAAAAAGTTTAGTAAAAAAATTAGCTAAGAAATGAACATGCTCCTACTTTATTTTTGAACGGATGATGTGCAAGAGCCGCAGCCTGAAAACCTCAGATTTTGCTTTGGGAGTTTTCACAAAGGTAATGGAAAACTTTGACCTACCAAAAGACCTCCTGCAAATGTTCTAAATGAGAAAACATCCAACACCATCTTCCTTTCAGCCTCTCTGACAAGAGCTGAACTCACCTGCAGAGCTCTCAGGCAGTGCAGGAGGCTCTCAGCTCCCTGTCCCCTGCCCAGATGTGCAGCACATCTGCTGACCCTGCCAAACCAGCTGTTTGCTCTCTGCCCTGCAGAGCTCCAGAGACCCGGAGGTGCCGTCCCGGTGCTTGGATCCACCAGAAGTTCACACAGACACCTACACATGGGTCTGGCACCCACAGGGAGGTGGTGAGGTGCCCATCCTCACCAAAATCCGGCTCTCCCCAGCCTCTGCTCGGCCAGAACACAGCAGCACATGCTGGGAACACCTTCTCCTTACCAGACTGAGGAGAGGTGCCACGGAGGTTGGCTGAATCTCTGAATCATCGGCTGTGGAGAGGCGTTTTCACTCCTCTGCCGCTTTGACTTCTCCCTCCCTGCAGCAGCAGGTGCCTGGGAGCGCCCATGGAATTCCGTGTTTTCCCCATGGAATGCGTTGTGTGGGGCACGAGGCATTGCTCAGGTCTGTGAACGCTTTAATGACCTCGGAGGGGATACTGAACTGGGGAGCCTGGCACTTACCCTGGCACTGCCTCACCCTCCCAAAGGAGCTTCTTCTCCAGCCAAGCTCAGGGCTGCCAAAGCAAACCAGGGCCTGGCCTCGGGGCAATTCCCTCCTCTCCCTGGAACACATCCCAGGGACAGTTTCATCTTCAGGGCACCAGAAGACTCAGAAATCACGGAGTTCATGCAGGGATGGGCAGCCATCCTTCCCAAAGCCAGCAAAGCCCCCGGGAGCACTCCAGCTTTGCAGAGGAAGCCTTGGACGCCTGCCACAACACGCTTGCCACTGGTTTAGGGATTTGCTGGGACAATGGCAGGACAGCAGCTCCTACCCAGGGGCAGGAGGATGAATAGGCACAAGAATCCCTATTTAACACACACAATAGCCCAGCCCGGCAGCCCGTGTAGGTTCACCCGGCATTTGTTCACATTTCTCGCTCCTTGGACTCTCTCCTGGTCCCTCCCAGAGCCTGGAGGCAATAACTTGCCTTCTTATCTGACCCAGAAGGACAGCCAGCTGTCAGCACACAAACACGGCCTTTGTTTATCCTGAAATGAAAGCTCAGTTAATTAAAACCAGAAATCACTTTCTCTTATCTGCAGCCTCTGGCCCCTGTGGCAGGCAGGAGGCTCTGGGGCCACATTCACACCCCAGGCTGCTGACAACAGCCCCCACACAATATCCCAAACTCCTTGCCAGCACCTGTTGCATCCTCCTTCGGGACTCATTCATGGGAAATGGGAATTTTAAGGCAGCAAGAGCTTCTCCACATTCCCAGACAGGTTAATGCCACTTACTACTACCCCATTCCCTGACCACGGAGCTGCAGAGCCCTTGGCTGATGACCTTAATGTTCTCAGGGCTCTGGGTTTGGAATCCTGGGGTGATCAAGTCCATTGTGCTGTCACAACTGTGGGGATCCAGAGCTTCCCTCTGGCTGCCCTGGCAGGTCTGGGACCCTGGCAGGGGTCAGGAACCCCCCTGGACAGAGCCCCCAGAGACACTGGCTGTGATCTCTGGCCATGGAAAAGAGTTTTCAATCTTACAGGATGAATTACAAGCTCTGAGTGTTTGATATAAGGAATAATTAAGTGTGGCACGAGTGCAAAAGTAAAATTTTAGGATTCTAGATAAGGGGTCCAAAGGGGACAAGATGAAGGAAATTTGGTGTACCTTGTCCTTTTTCTCCTTCTTCATGCCCTCCATGTTTCACTGTGGTGTTGGCATTTTTCTGTTGGTTTAGGCTGGGGACACACTGTCCAACGTAGGTGACAGATATTGGCACGTTATTGTAAATCCAGCACAGGTAGTTTGTGGTATTTAATGTTTGTACCATCCCACTGAGGGCAGAGCCCCACACGCTGCCCTGCAGGACAGAGCTGCGGCAGGGCAGCAGAACATGTTAGAGATAAACAGAACAAACAACCTTGAAACAGCACAGACGAATTATGGCTTCTTTGGCAATGGGGTGAAAGACAGAGACTTTCTACAATTTTGGAATCATCAATACCTCAGATTCCAACAACAAGTGTCCCCTCCCAGCCCAGCCCAGCATTTTTCAGCCCCACACAGAGATTTCACCCTCCTCTTCCCAGCAGCTCGCCCCACAGTCCCAGAGGGACCAGCCTGGCTGGAGCTCCGGGACAGGGGGTGCTGCCCACAGCCAGCCCCGCTCCCAGCACGGCTCGGGGTGTGCTGGGGGCCCTCGCCAGCAGCAATCATGGTTATGCAAGGCAGGAGCTTGACAGAGTGCCAGTTCTGCATGCTGAAAATTGAAAGCGATCGACTTCCACCTTGTGCGTAAGGCAGAGAAAATCACATTCAACTCATTGAGAGGCTTCAACAGCAGAAAGATTGATCAACCTGATGAGAAGTGACTCGCTCTCTGCCATCCTCCTTCCCTCCATGCTCCTCTCCTGTTGATCCCAATTTCAGCGCAAACAAGGGAGCCAAGGGCCTGAAAAGGAGTCCATGTGCTGCTGGCTGGGTCAAATACTGGGGAGAAATTCTTTCCTTGAGGGTGGGGAGACCCTGGCACAGGATGCCCAGAGAAGATGTGACTGCCCCTGGATCCCTGGAGGTGCCTAAGTTTGGACAGGACTTGGAGCAACCTAGGATACCTAGGTGTCCCTGTGTGTGGCATGACATGAACTTTAAAGTCCCTTCCAACCCAAACCATTCCATGACTCTATCTCAGGGTCAATTCTCCCTAAAAAGGTCAAAGGCGCCCCAGACTGCAGAGGAAGTTTGCTGATGTTCCTGGCTGCCACAGAGGATGCAGCAATGGGCTGCACCTCACTCTGGGGACACCAGGAGGCCCAGGATGAGGGACCCCACCTCCCTCAGCTGCCTGCCCACACACAGGCTGCTCCCTCCCTCCCCTCTCGCCTGGCACTCCTCACTTCGCCATTTACACGTGTCACACCAAAATCTTTCTCATTAAGCGGAAATTGAATTTCGTTAATTAAAGCAAAAGAAATCAATTAACCTTATCAGCAAACAGGAGCCATTGGAAAGGGAATAAGGAGAAGGCATCGCTCCCTCTCACCCCGAGTCTCCCCTGGATGCTCAGAGCTGTGCACGGGCAGCTCACCGTGGGCTGCAAACAAGCGAGACGGGGCTGCGGGGAAGGTGGGGAACTGCTGACAAGAGGAAAGGGATTTCAAAGCAATTAACACCCCCAAGATTTACCATCAGGTTGACAAGCTTTCAGAGTAGCCATCACTCAAACCTAAGGATTCAATTAATTTTTTTTTCCCTCTTCCCCCAACTCCCCTGGTAGCTTTGCACGTAGTAGCAGAATGACTCCAGTGTGGAAGGAAGATTTAAAAACCAAACAGAGCAGAGTGATTTTGAAGGAGATAAAAGCATTGTTTCCCCGTGTCCCCCAACAGCCAACATTTGTTTTTCCTTCCTTTGCTGTTCGCCTCATTGGCACAGCTCAAACGCAGCCATTTTGTCACTACCCCTGGATATTTGTACGTGCTCCTCTGCTTTTCATCTTGCAGAACCTTAATCCCAGACTCGAGTCTCGTAGGGAAAGGCTGGCTATTCTGGGATGTATAATCCATGCCAGTGGTCCCAGAAAGGACCTGGCAGTGGCTCTGCCACAAGACCTGTCCCTAGCAGAGGTGATGATGGTGAGGTGACAGGAGACACACAGGCTCGAGCACACTTTTAACCTGATTAAGACTATTAATCAATAATTGCATAATTCTTTTCTCAGCCAGGTGGGACAGGCTTTACCTACAGCCCTGTGAACGGAGTCTGTGGCACCTCCTGCTTTTCCACACCACCCTCTGGAAAGGCAGGGAGTGAGGGGAGCTTATCCCTCCTTCCCGTGGGCAAGGATGCTCCAGAGGAGAGCTGACATTCAGAGTGCTGGTGGAAATCTGCAGTCTGAGCATGAGCCTCTCCTCCAACCCAGGCAGATGAGCTCAGCTCTTTGCTGCTTCAGGTTGTCTCTTGGGGTGGATGTTTGCACCCAAATCTGCTCTGGCCAATCTTCTCTACCTCTAAAAGCTTCAGCTGAAGGAGTCCTTTAATGTCTCAGTCTCTCTATGCAATAAAAGCATCACAATAATAATAGCTTCTGCTGAGCACCCTTAATCTGTAGAGATCCAGGCACTTTAGAGAGGAGCAAAGCTATTTTATCGAGGGGACAGCAGAGAAAAGAACAGGGACACAGGAAAATATAAGGATTTGCACATGGAAATCAGCAACCCAGGCAGCACAGAGCCCCAGTTCCCACACTTCCCTCCAAAGCCTGGGAAACAGAGACACAGCCCCCCAAAATCAGGCAGGATAAAGGAATGGGTGGGTCAGCAGTGCCCACCGAGGGCAGGTGTGAGAGCAGGGGAAGGAAGGGGTTTCCCTCACCAGCTGGAATGTTCTCTGCTTTCCTCTGTGCCCCTGAGAATGCTGAACCATCCCTTTCCCATGAGAAAGGAGGGTGATGTCCCCCAGTTTCCCCACCCCAAGAAGGGCATGGAGTTGTCCCTCTCCCCACCTCCCCAGCCTCTGATCCTCCTGGAGCCCAAGCCCCCACCATCCCTCACCCACCCCCAAAACACCACCCAGGGCAGGTTCCCCAGCTCAGAAAAACTTTTGTTACCCCACCCCTTCCCCCCCCAAACTGCCCGTTGGCTGCAGAGACCCTCAGATATCCCAGGAGAGGGTTAGAAAGACCCATCATTATATCAAGGAGCCAAAAATACCCACTCTCTCCAAAAACTTTACTGCAGTCTTTGCACCCCCTGCTCTGTCCTGCCCTTAAACACCCCCAGCCTGCTCTGAAACCATCCCCTCCTGCCTGCAAATTCCATAACATCTCTTCTTGAGCAGCCTAATGAGTGAGGTGGGTTTGTGCAAAGCCTGAGCCCAAGGATGAAATGAGATGGAGATCTCCCTGGCTGATTCAGGGATTTTTCTCCACAGATCAGGATGCTCAGTTCTACCAGGCAGGATGCTCCTCCTGGGAGCAGGGCTGGCAGACCAGGAAAGCCCAGGAGTTAGCAGAGAAGATTTCCTGAATGAATCTCATCTGTATGAGGAATCCTTGCATGCAGGGCCAAACCAGCACGTGTTTTCAGACAAAATTAGGGAAGAAAAAGATGCAAATATCCCAGGAATGTGCCCAGCAGTCTTTTGTGTGAATACATTAAAATACAATAGAAATGTGACTAAAGAAGACTCAACAGAATAAATACTGCACTTATAATAGGCCTCAGGGAGAGAAAGAGATTTAATGGCAACATATTAAATGTAAATCAACACAAAAGGTAACTGGGAAGGGAAGAGATATACCAGCTTAGGGATTATAGCACAAAGCTGTAATATTTACTCACGAGATTAAGGCACTTATAGGAAATGAAATATTGTCCTTTGGAAATAATTCAATCCTTTGCCTTTATCCAGGAGGATTGGACATATCAAGCTCTTGGAGAGACGCAGACATAAATTCACACCTAATACTAGTGGAGCAGTGGGGACCTGTGTCTGTCACAGTGCTCTACAAGGGCTCCAGGATTTCCAGGGGAAACTCATCTTGGAGCAGCAGCCTCTGCCTGCACATCCCTACTGACAGCCAGAGCTGCTGTGAGCAGGGATTTTGGATGGCTTGGGCCAAGCAGAAATAACTGCTGGCCATTTTAAGGGGGCCCTTTCCTCCCCACAACTCCCAACCATCCAACACATCCTGGGATCTGTTGACCTGCTGCTCTCCAACTGGATGGCAGGATAAAGACTGCTCCAACATCCTTCTGGTCAAGGTGATCCCCGTCACGTCAATCCTCAGTGTCTCAGCCTCCACATCTGCAATTTGGGAGTGTTTCTCTGCTGTGCAAGAAGCTTCAGCCAAAACACCCTTGAGCAATGTGATGTATCATCACCACACATAAGTTATCTCCCAGTTTACTGTAATTTTTTTTTTTCCGGCAAAAAATAAAATTCTAACAACTCAATCTGATTTCCAGGCACCAGGCAATAAAAAAAGACAATCTTCTGATTTCACAACTGCAAAGCTTCCCTTAAACCAGATACATCAGCTACTCGTATACCCCAATCAGCAGAGCATCTTTAGCACCTCGCAATCTTTAATAGACTCGTCCTCTGAAAACCCCCGGTGAGGCTGGGAAGTGCTATTATCTCCTTTAAACAGGCAGGGAACAACGGCTGGGAGTCGGCCGCCCACGGCGTTGTCTCTCTGCATTGGAGACCTGCCCAAAAACTTTAAATTAAGCAGAGCACTGCCAAGCAGCCAGGCCGGGCTTAACTGCTCCTCACTGCAGAGAACTTGGTGCTGCAAATGCTAAGGCATCCTGGTGGCTGAAATGGACAGTTTAAGGTTAAAAATAAAATCAAAAAATGCAAGCAAAACCCCCAACAACAATGGGAAAAAAACAACCAACCAACCAACCAACCAACACCAGAAAGCGGTGGAAAAAAATAAATTTGGAG